AAGCCGAATAAACCTGAAAAATTAGCAAACGACTGAACCGATATTATAGTCTTCATAAGGCGCTTTTGGTGGGAACATATGTCCGAGACTATATTAAAACACTAATTGCTATAAAAGTAGCGATGTAAAAAATTCTAAAAATGAGATATTAACTTCTGCATACGACTCATGAACGCAGCATTTCAATAGGCAGGCAATCAACTACTTACTGTTATATCTGTCATAAAAAGCTAACAGCTGTTACAGTACATGAGTTTTGTATGAAATTAGAAAGGCAGTATCAGATTTGGAAATAGTTAGCTCAGTGCAACAGACAGAAGGGTAGATCACAAAAATTCACGAAATTTGACATAAAAGAGAGAGAGAGAGAGAGAGATCGTATAGGCTGCGACTTCCGAAATACAGATTGTTGAATTTCCTTACCAAAACACCTAAATGCTTTATTCCAACAAGATAAATATTTTTTTACTTACAAGATCTATGGCTATAGAGTTCTTTTGAACACACTAAACACTACCATTTCATTTCAACTAAGATATTGTATATCATAAAAGACTGCATTTAGAGAGGCACCCAACAATCTCTTTGGTAAATAATCTGATGGAAATTGAAAATTAGCCGTTAGAAAAAACAATGATACTTTTCGACAGATTGAAAAATCAACGATTGTAGGAGTATCTGCTATAGATATCAAGTGTGTCAAAATCATGTTTGAATTAGCTTTGGCATAATGAGAAGGATTCCTCTCACCATTGCTACTGTGTGCCAACACTTTCAGGATTTAAATAGTTTGGCCTAAATAGTCAGAGTTAGATGAAAATAACTTTTGGAATCTGTGAAATACTGGAAATTATACTTAATATTTTATTGCAAAGGACGGACATCGGTAATTAATCCTAATAACCATAATATGTTAGAGATATGAGAAAAATTTTACTTACACCGAGCAGCTTGTATTTTTCAGTCAAATATGCATTGTTTTTTTGACAGTAATTTCATAATGCCACTCGTCATAGACAAGAACAGGTAAATATCACGTTTTTCGAAGTTCGGACTATAAGATGGATGCATAGGAATCTTCTAAACAAGCTCCCGGAGCAGCTGATGAGTCTACAGCATTGTGTGTGGAACACAAATTCTTTTTTATTGGTCAAAACTGGCTGCTTCTGGGCAATTCCTTTCTTCATACGGTTGACAGTACAGGTGCGAATTAGGCTTAGCAGCTCATTGCATAACTTCAGAAATAAAAAGTTTTTGTTGCGATTCAACAGCGATTTGCAAATGGAAATTCTGTACATGAGCTTGTATGGCATTAAGTCAGACACCCATACATCGAGAATGCTCTTGTATTTAATTATTTAGAATTGGTTTCAAACGAATGCAATATCGAACTGTTGGAAAATCAAAATAATGCTTATGTAACAGTCGCACTTGACGATTTTCATAACTTTATCGATATTTTGGACAATTGGGCATCCAGAGCGTGGCGCATATTGGACATCAGAATTACCGGATACCTAAAGGAATCAGCGATCCCAAAATGGCATATATTCTGCCCTTGCCTCGTGTTTTTGCCAGTCTTAAAGAAAAACTGTTAAATAAAGCGAATTTTCTCTTTGCGTGATACCATTTTAGGATGCGTGCTCAAACTCCACTGCCTCAAGCAATCAAAAAACTATCTGAGAATTTTTTTTAATACAAAATCTTATCTCTCTATATAAAATTTTTTCGGCGTATAACATAACCCGATTTAACTTTAACAGCGCGTGATACACATTACCAAAACCATATATTGGAAAAATAATGAATTTTTATTTACTAGACCTTGTTGATTGAGTGAGCAAATATGGCTTATTATCGTCTCTAGTTCTAGGAAACCCTCGTAGCTAATGCATTGTATAGGACAGTTTTTTTCGGTGAGTTTTGCCCGGAGAGGTCAGTAACCATGTTGCGTAATTTGAGAATATGACATTCAAGTAATTATAAATCCTCCTCCTTTGAAAGCATTGAGTGCTGCACCTGCTAAATACGATGAAAAGAGACTAAAGTGGTAGAATTACATTCGCCTCCTGCGTTTTTGCACTTGTTTAAGCAAAAATTGGCGAGGTGTTTATAGCGGCAATTACGAAGACAAGCTCTCTACTTCGACTGCCCACATATTTAAGTATTTATATAAACATGTTTATGATTGTTTTCAACGCCATTAAAGCGATTTCATAACTTATGTTCGAGAGTGAACAAATTACGCGTTTATTAAGCAATTTAATGTACTTTGCGCCCACATGGCTTCATAAATATTTATGCGCTCATTGGCAAGGGAACATTCAACTCGAAGCTTGGCTTCGAGGGAATCGCCAGAGTGTGGGCAAAACCAACGGTGATGACCACCAACACGTCACCAAAGCAGACTTGACACCATGAGCAACCACAGCTAGTCAAATTTTATCAACAACACCAACACACACTCACGCACACAACCGTGGCGCTAAGCAGTTGCAATTAGTAATGCGCTTTTTTTTTTGCTGCACCTCCAGCGAAGTAACACGCTGACAAACGCCTCTAATGGCCAATTAAACTCACTAACGCTGAAAAATCATGTGAAGTCTACCGCGTTCAAGTAAGCAGCAATTATTTTTAATTAATTTAATTAGAACGACCCAAGGAAAGCCGGCACAAAATGTGGCTCACACGATTACGAGAAATTTATAAAAATTAAGTGCAACTCCCAGCAAGACATTTTGTCAAGTGTCACATGATGTTGCAAGAACAACAGCGTAGAAAATATTAACAACAAAAGCTAATGTTTCAGCGATTTGCAAGACGTGATGGTTAACGTCATTACGCCACCAGCAGTTGCAACACACAGTTGATTTAGTTGTAATTAAATTAGATATCCACATGCAACAGCGCAAAATTTCTATTTGCCACAGCGCGTTGCAATTCGCAAAGTCGAGAAGCTGAGATGCCAAGTGAATAAACTAATTGCGCTGCTATTTGCCACTTGGCCAGCGCTGCACAAACATGCATGCACGCCGCAAATAGCGCTAAGTTCCAGCGTACTTGCCACACTGAACGCTATCTCACCGTTGTGAATGTGGCGGCGTCAAGTCGCAAGGCCACTGACCTTGCGCTGCCACACTGTTGGGATTTGTTCTGTTGACGTTCAGCAAAAACTACTTAGTAGCACACTTAGTGCGCGTTTGTAGTAGTTGTTGCAATTGTTATTGTTTCCTCCATTGCCGGCAATTTAACTGTTCGTGCGTCATAATCACTCACCTCATAAGATCAACAGCGCGAGTGCTGCATGCCAAGCGCAAACAAACAAACAAACAACAACAACAACTTTAAAAAGTTTTATACAAGCAGTTGTTGCATGTGTGTGCGTGTGTTGGTGTGTATGAAAAGTAACTGCGCGCATGCACGTAAGCCTTCAAAGTCAACACGCCAGCCCAGGCGACTGGCCAGGCGGCGATCAAGCGCTCCAGCTCTAACAGCAGCCGACAAATCAGCAGTTGAAGCCCTGTTATTAGAATAAATTATTAGAATAAAATAAATAATGCAACCGCGATTAGACAGGCATTTCCTCCTCCGGCTTCGCCAGCGCCGCACTCCCATGCCGCCCGCTTGCGTGTCACGCTCGACGGCGCATACGCTGGCGTTAAGCTGAAATCAATGTACATCGTGTAGCATATAATTGCTCTATAAAACACGCATTTTAACATCGAATATTTCTAAGCGTTAGTTAAAATTAGATCATCTAATTCAGCAACAATTTGAAGCAGCTTTAATAACACAGAAGATTTTCTTTATGGATTTTTGTCCATTGCTTTTATTTTTTAATAGTTTTTAGTAATAGTAATTTGCTTCAAAAATATTAAATTAATTACCGAAATTATGAGTTATTAACCCTCTAAAAATATAAAAACTATAATAAATAAAACATAAAGAAAAGACATAAAGAATAGCAGCTACCAGCCTTCAGCTCGCTGACCGCATGCTTCGACATCGAGTTACCTCTAGACTAGTTTAGGTGTCTGACCACAGCGAAATTGCAGAAAACTACAAGGCCCATGAGTTGCTCAGTCAGGCATTTCAGTCCAACTAGCTTTTAGCGGCTGACTCTGTTCCTCTCTCTCTCTCTTTCGCTTCAAAACTAATCATTTGAACATCAAATGAGCACGGTAAGCGCTGTACAACTACTAGCAATTGTCTACTAGCAGTCGCTAGGCTCTTCTGGCCCAAAAGTATATCGTAAGATGTACCTCTCAACATTTCTAGCAGTTATAACTGACCAATGTCCCATCCTTCTTGAATGTCTCACCTCACCACCCAGGCAAAAAATACCTTGGATCTCCTACTGTTCGATTTCCAGACGAAATAGCGGTAGTCAGTCATCCAACCTAACTTCTTTTAAAGTGGAAAGGGATAACTATTCAAGATATTCATCTTATATTTCTTATTGCTTAATTTGTTTCTAGCAAATACGAGTATGTTTTTGCTGTGCTTGCAAAATCTATTCTCCAAATATTTTGAAATAAGATTACCAAGTTAACAGCCCTCGGTCGGATAAATCTGTTCCGTTTTAGCTACGTATACCCGATATCGTACGAAGTTATCCATTACAAAGGCAAATAAGCTAGTGTGACTCCATGCGGTGTTATATGAGAAATGGGCGTGGTTCTATTCCGATTTTCTGTATTTTCTTTCTAGGATGGAACAAAATTGTTCGGAAAAGACTGAAACACCAATTGAAAATTTCTGTTGGGCACATGCCATAGCAAAGTTATCTATATTATGTACTGGCATATTTCTAGTTAGTAAGAGTCAAGTTTCGTCGGTCAGGAATACCCTAACGGACTAAATTCTCCAGCTGGATATTCCCGTAGCTTTGCTGCGGCCACTTTTATGATTCAAATTACAGTCTTATTCTGTTCAAGAGTGAGCTAAAGTCTAATTGTAAAACCAAAACCAGTTTCTTCAAAAAAAAAAAAAAACGCAAATTCAAAATTTTCCGCTTTTTATTTGGCCTCATAGTTTTCCATGTAAAAAATTTCACAAAAACACGATCTCTCACCCCTGCGCCCAACAATCAGTTTTATACCACAACATTTTATCGGCGTTTGGTCCACGCTTCAGTTGCGATAAGAAGCTGTGCTGCACGCAGTCGTTATGAGTGCGCACCCCACAGGTACACGGCCTCAAGCATGTATTCACTTGGTCCAAAACGTCCGCTTTATTAGTACACTTAGCAACATACTCCTTCCGAGGGCACGTATAAATAACCCAATTGGGATGTACCGGAAGATAGTCCTTTTTCTCGTTGATGTACTGCTCCGCCAACTCCATGCAAAAATCCCTATTTTCCGATACCAATCGCAAATGTTTATTATATTTCGCCTCCTCTTCAGCTTGTATCCGGACATTTTCGGCCAACTGATGTTCCAGCTCTTCGCGCATTTTGCGCTGTTCCGCCATTATTTCTGCTCTTGTCTTTTGCGAACGCACAAAGCGATTCTCAATGATTTTATTTTCACGTAGTTCCTGCGCCTCGCGCAATCGCCGCTCGTACTCTTCGCACCTCTGACGACGCAACTCTGTATAGTAGAGCGCTGCCAGATCCGCTTTGCCTGCGAGTTCTGCTCTCAATTTGACACACTCGTCAACGTGTTTCAAATTGTCGATACGTGCAGTGCGCGCAGCTGCGGTTTCCTCTTCCAATTTGTGCATGCGTCGCGCATAGTCGATAAAATCCATTGTTGCTTTGTAGACGGCGCGCTTTCGCTGCACGAGTGCGTCGCTGTTTTGCTGCTCTTCGCAAGCTATCTCTCGCATGAGCGCACGATGTTCGGCCATACGCTCGCGCTCTTCGGCTTTGCGTTCGGCTGTTTTCGCGGCGATCATATCCAGTAAGTCTTGACGATAAGCGAGCGTCTGCGGCGAAGTGCGCGGCAGTTTGAGTTTTTCCAAACGTATTTCTTCCAAAACTTTGCTGAGCCGTTCGGCTTCTAGACGTTTTTGCTCCAATTCTTCCTCCCGCAGCCTTTTGTGTTCGGCGACCTGTTTGTCTAACATGTTACTCGTGTGGCGTTGCATGCATTTTATCAAGTTTTTTTCACTTTGGAGCAGTTTATCCTGATGCTGCTTCTTGGCGATGAATACTTTGTGCCAGTACTGATCATTCTGATGGTCACGCACGTAGGCGCGTTGCTTCTCTGTTATTTGCTCAAGTTGTGTCTCCTTAACTTGCATCGTCTCTTTGCGATTCAATGCATCACGTATCTCAAAACAGTCCTCCAGATGACGCTGTATCCGCATATGTTCTAAGAACTCTTGATCCTGTCGATCACGCTCTTCTTTGATTTTCAGCAAAATATCCTTGCGCTTTTTAATATCTTCGTCAATGCGCGACTTTACCTTAATGGCAAACTCTTTCTGATAAACATGATCCTCGTGCTCCAGCTGCAAGTGCAGACGCTTGCGCCGTTGCTCCAGTTCCTTCTTTGCAGTATTTTGTGCATTCTTCACCAAATCCTTAATTTGCATGTAGACACTCTTGCGCTCGGAATTGTTCATGAACTGGAGCATAAAAATATCATGTGCGGTCAGCATTTTTCTAACTTGTGTTTGTCGCTCAGCACAGGGACAAGAGACCAGTACAAATACAAAAAACTTAAAATAATTGTATAAAAGGCTTTATAAAAGTTTTAGCGTAAAAAGGCTAATAAAAATAATTTTCTTTACGTCAAGATATTATTTTGACATATGTGAAAACACTATGGGAAAGAAAGGTGATGAGTTTTCATTATCAGTTTTTGAAAAGTTTCGAATATTAAAGGGTAGTTGGTTTGTGTGTGGGTCCGAAATCCAATTTCGGGATTTTTTAAAACCTTTCTTCGACGTGAATACTTTCCAGAAGAGGTAACTTTAAACTGGGTAAGCCCGTGAGATAAATCTTAAGGATACCAGTCCGGGAAAACCATTATATTTCCCTCTATCCGTGGGAGCCTTAACCGACCATCGGAAGGAGCTTCAGTGATTTGAACTTTTGTTATATTCATGTAGTGTTAACCGCCAAAGAAGTTCCAGAATTCTCTTGATTACATCTTTCCCTTTGAGATCCACGGCATAACGTTTTTGGAACTTATTTATTCTTATATACCTTAAGACTTAGGAACAAGAAGTAGAAGACTAATAAGTTTATCATAGCTTACTTGGTCGTTATCAAAACACATATTAAGCAAAGAACTTCGGATGATATTACTAACTTTGAAGAGAAAGATGAGGTTTCAGAAACTCTAACTAAATATGAAACTTTCTTAAAAATGTATTTAATATTGTTATCACTCCGATGTATGAAACTTAGTGCAAAATAAGAAAATTCAACCAAATACAATGCGATGAAGATATTTCTTCTAGTTAGTATTGTGCTTAAATATGATAAAGCAAAGTCGGGGGAAATAATCGCGCAGATCAATAAGCAGTACAATACCGACTCACATATATATATGTGAAAATGACTACGAAAGTAATGCGGAAACAAATTAATAGCATATAAAACCTGCAGCTCCTGCAATATTCAACGCATATCAAGGTTGAGACGGTTCTAAGTACAGCAAATTACCTTACGCTTTTCTAGTAATTTATAATCACCCAACTCTGAGTGATCGAAATATGTCAAGACATTTCTAAGCATATAAATGCGATGACGCTGGCGCAGGCTCTGAGGTACTAGTCACTCTTATCAAGTACACTGCCAACTTGTCTCGCTTGTTCAACATCTACTGGCATGTCTGTGGCTAGCGTGTTACATAACGAAACGAAAACGAACGCCAAATTTGTAGGAAACAGCAGAAAATCAAAGTCGCTGACAGCGCCTCAAAGTCAAAGTCAAATTTCGCGATGAGTTTCGGCTAACGAGACACTTGCGTTGCAGTCAATCACGGGCCTATTTCCAATGCCGTTTACTCTTGAGTCTTGGTATTTGCGGAAAATTCTATTGTTTCGGAGTGGAGAAACAAAAGAGATGAGCAAATGAAAATAAGCTTAGTAGCCACCAATGAAGCAGCAAGTTGCCATATTATTTGAATCGCCAATAAAACTTAAATACATACGTCAATTTCTCTTTAACGAAGCCTAGTTTTTGCGAGGATCAAACATAATGTTTATTATATTATATCATTTCAGAAAACACATCTTTGCAGCAAAAATTTACAAACAAAAAATATTTAAATTATAAAAAACAGAAACACTGACTGTTTGGTGCGCTTTATGGGCTGGTTTATGGAATAAGTTTATGGGTATTTAAGAACGATGATGGCCAGAACTTTACAGTCAATGGTGATCGGAATAGAGCCATGATTACTAACATTTTCATTCCTGAATTGAAGAACCATGATGTCCAGGAGCTGTGGTTCCACAAAGACGGCGCAAGATGTCACACAGCTCGTGCCGCAATCGATTTATTGAAAGACACGTTAGGTGACCGCCTAATTTCACGTTTTGGACCTGTGAGTTGGCCTCCAAGATCTTGTGCTTTAACACCGCTAGACTACTTTCTGTGGGGGTTATGTAAAGTCATTGGTCTGTGCGCATAAGTCACAAACGCTTAACCATTTGGAAGACAACATTCGCCGTGTTATTGCCGATATACGGCCACAAATGTTGGAAAAAGTCGTCGAAAATTGGACGTCCAGATTGGACTACATCCAAGCCAGCCGTGGCCTTCATATGCCAGAAATCATATTTTAAATGTAATGCCACCATATTATCTTTCGGATAAATAAAATTCATGTCAGTCGAATAAAACATGGTTGTTTTATTGCAATTTAAAGTTATATACCTCTAAAAAAAATACCCTTTACATATGTATGTAGGTGGATTTTGACCTTCTATTGAACATTTTTCGGCATCGGTTAGATCGGGGAACGATATCGCATACATCTCCCATACAACCGATTATTCAATGATTTTATTTTCCGCTTGCGTGCCTTCAATTAAAAACCTAAGAGCAATGTAATTTTGCAGAACTGTTTTCTAATACATACCTTACAATGAGAGTGTAAATAAATAAAATCCGACAATCTAATGTTTATGTATATTTTAAAAGTTTCCATACCAAATATACCATTAATTTTGAACAGTTTAATATAAAATCATTAAATGGCGGTTTCTCGTAGAGAATAAAATTTCAAAAAAATTATGCCTCATTGGTTTTCAATTAAAAAATTCGTATACCACTAAACTAAATGGAAACGTCGGAGACTCTATAAAATATATATACATGTACAATCTGGGCCGATTTAGCCATGACTGTATGCTTGTCCGTCCGTCAGACTGTCTGTGTATATGCGCACATAATTTTGCAAGCATCTCTTTCTACCCAAGAAGCTACTCATTTGTCGAAACCGCCGATATCAGAGCACTATAGCAAATAGCTGTCGAATAAACTAAACGCTCGGAATCAAGAGTTTGCATGGAAAAATTTTTCATTTGACGAGATGTCTTCATAAAATTTGGCAGTGGTGCAAACTCCGCAGAAATTGTTTAGATCGGATAACTATAGCATATAGCTGCCATAAAAACTGAACGATCGGAATCAAGTTCTTGTTAGACATCTTCTGTATTTGTGAAGGGTATTTTAGCTTCGGTGCAAACGAAATTAACGTTTTTGCTTGTTTTTTTTTTTTTAAACTAGGAAATTTGAACTTTATTGTTGAGTGATTTTGTATATGCTCAAGTAACCGCTTTAACGATTATTTTGCACCTACACACACATAGACATTTCCATGCGAATACTGTGTAGAGATTTTCGGTAGTTAAAATTTCGAATACATACACGAAAAGCAACGGTTTGCCAACGCCAAGTTTGGAATAATACTTCAACCTACAAAAACACCAACTATAAGTTCAAGGAAGCGCTGCGCTTACCAAATCGGACGCGATGGATTTGCATTTCGCTGACACTTCATTACGCGTGACATAAACAAAGAGGCATACAAACACCAACACACACACACACAGCCAAAAGGTAGCAGGCAGAAGCTGGGCCTGAGCGTGTTGGCTTGGATGTGTGAAAAAAATTAAGAAGTGTACGATGGCAGCCCCGACTGTGCTGAAGCGGGCGGTTTGCACGAATTATGCTAAAATGCCGTAAATCATGCTTCTAATGGCTGTGAGGCAACGCTAGAACCAAATAGCTAGCTAGCCAGTCATAGATTGCCGCGGGAGGGTCCCACCGCCGTTAATACGAGCAGTGGTGAAACAATCGAACAGCGCTGCCAAATTCAATACCCTGAGCAGGCAACCAAACTTGGCAGACCTTGGTCAACAGCGCAATGCCGCAAAGCCTTACAAAGCTACACATATGTATATGTGTATGTATGTACTTGGGAATGTCTGTGGCATATGTAACAAAGCTTGTTGCATGCCACATTATTCGCTGATGCGGTGCGGTTGACATGGCCGCATGTCGCTGTTCGATCAGCGTGCCAACCGAAAGCGCGCCGTCTATCTGTCGATTGCGCAGTCTGTCCGTCCAACGTGTGTGCTGTCGCTTGGCTACTGTTGCCACCGCGTCGTATGTCACAACTATTGCTAGCGCTATTGCGCGCAGTTGGACACAGTTGCCAATATTTGGCGGTGACGTTCCCAGGCCGCATGCGCACCCTTTAGGCATGCCTTGCCTTGCCACATGCCACAACTTTCGTTCCTTTCACGAAGTGAAGCGTGTGGGCAGGCGTGAGATTTCTCGCAGCGCTGCTGCCGCATGAAGAAAAAATACTGTAGATAATAAAATAAAAGCACATTGAAAATCGAAACAACCAGAGCGCTCACACACAAACACACATACATACATTGCCAAAGCTGCCACATGCGGTGCTGTCAGCGCGACTTGGCATTTTGGGGCGTTGCATATCGAATTCAATGACTTTTACTTCAACTGCTCACTACGCTTCCAAACTTGTACCGTTTTGGTTTGCATCTCTATTTCCTGTTTTTTTTTTTACTATTTGTTTGTCACTGCAACGCTGTGTGCTAGTTTTGCTTGGTCAACAATTTATTCGCAAGAATCGTGTTGAATTTTACGGTACAAAACCTTAATGAATCGAAAGCCTAAGCAAGCATTCGCGATAAATGTGCCATATAGTCCGCTGTTTGGTCTAATATTTTGCCTACACACGATTTTAACGAGAACTAATACCACGCGTTAGTATATATTTGCAGATATGTAAATTTGGCGTAGATATAAGGAAAATCAGGTCATATATACACGATAAGATAGTATTCTACTTTTACATATCGGAAAGGTATAATGACCAATGAAGTACACTAGTTCCAGTGTTAGCTCCTTTTTCATCTCATTGACCGTGAGAATAGATTGAAAGTGCGTTAAATAGTTTAGCAGAAGACAGTATCAAACGTTGATGAAACTTTAACGAATAATTTCTAACAGCATACCGAACTCTGTAGCGATAAAAATGGCAAATCAATGCAGAAATCTTTTAATAAATATGTTACATACCTCTTGTGTCGGCTGAGTTTATATTATATATATTATATATATATATATATATAGCATATAACTGTAATACAAAGGACACATGATACATAACCGTTTGTTGTAATTAAAGGAAAGCTTATAAAAGCTTGTGAGTTTGTTCTTTGATTTAAGAAAATTTAAAAATGAAGTTTTTCCAACAACCAAAACTTATCATGTATCTAGTCAATATTCACTGTAAACCCACACAATAATTTCGGCATTTGATATCTGCCAC